CAGGCACCCCTCCATTTCCTAGTTCTTAAAAATTGAGCAATCTCACAACCTGAGCACCAGACTGATAACGGAAAGGTTGTCACTAATACAAAAAGCTATCATCCTGTCAATGGTGGTAATCATAAAGACCTAGTATGTGCAATTCAATTTAAGGAATGAGCTCAAGGAAAGAAACTGCCAAGGTTTTTTTCGATGTCGTTAACACCCGCACAGAATATACAATGCCATGGGTGTGGACTGTGTACATACCTCAGTTATATTTTCACTACACGAATACTATTTCCCTGCCCAGCTTTTCATTCAAGTGCTGATTTCTAATACCTGTGAACAAATGTGCTTAGCCCTGCTAATGCTGATAAAAACTACAAATCTGTCTCCACTGTTGATCTACGAATGAAAGCGGTATGCCATGCACTCCATCTCACTGTACCCTTAATGGAAAATCAGCAGGGCTGTTAGCAAAATTTCCCGCACCACAAAAAGATAATATTAACTCACGCACTTTAGGAAAATTCCCCAAATCCATCTTCTTCTCCTGATAACATTATAGAAGTTTTTGATATAATGATATTTTGAGGGGTTTCGGCCTAGGAAGGCAATTTATTACACAGTCACGTTAAATCCTTTTCCACCTAAGCCTAAAACTTGTTGACCATCTTAAACTCCCACCCTCAATAGTTGTAAACATTTACAATGCAAAGAGAAAATTAGACCCATCTAGCATCTTGCTACCATGTTTCCACAATATAGACCTTCAGTATGTTTTAGAGGAAGGCATTGAGTGAAATACCCTTCTCCTTTCTGATTAGTCTGATCGAACCACTTAAAGAGTCAAAGAGGTGAGATCATTTCTTTTTGGTTCCAGAAAATTCTGCTTTGTGACTTGTTTTTATAGAGCACGTTGGGCAAAGAAAAGGCTGGGCTATGTGAACAGTGACAAGGAAGTGACACCTTCAAGGAAGGCATGATCCTTTAGAAGATAAGCTCCAGAGGGCAGGGTGTATTTGATTCATTGGGACACTATCATCTCAGTGAGTAGGTTTGGAACCAAGGGGGATGGCGGAGGTGGGTAGGAGGTGCGGGCGTTAATGTGTACAAATGGCCAGCAATTACATCACAAAAAGGTAGGAGGCTTCTGTGCTCAGGATAAACTAACTCTGTCAACAGTCAGCCTTGTTCTAAAAGAAACCGCTGCTGCTAGGAAAACCCACACTCGATTTATTGAAGAGAAGTTCAGAAACATCTGGAGGCAGCATTTTTCATGCAGTTCTTTGAGGCAACAATCTAGAAGTGTCATTCACCAAACGTGCACTGAGTACTGGCTTTCTGAAGGGCGCATGACGCATGCGGGGCACTTGATGGATTCCGAGGAAAGCTCTGCCCTGTGGGAGTTGTCAAGGTTTGGGGGAAGGAAGGCAGGTTCAGAACCGCTGACAAGAACGTACATACGGCTTGTGTGTAACCTGTGAGTGGTACTGAAGAATGTTAGCAGTGAAACTAAGAGCTGTGATGGAATGATTAAAAGTTTGAACTTTAAAATGCACTCAGAAAAAGGCGAGAGTAATTGCAATGGACCTGAATTAACCTTGAAGACAGAGATATGTGTGAACTTGGTGCTCTCATTCTGTTGCAGCCACTCTAACCTCTTTGCTTTTTCCTCCAGCACATCTGGCATGTGCCCCCAGGGCCTTTGCACTTGAGCTTTGCTCAGCTTGGAGCACGTTCCCCCAGATATCTGCAGGCTCCCTCCCTTACCTCCATCAGCCTTCATTGTAGTGTCATCTTTGCAGGGAGGCTTCCCTAATCGCTTCATATGATACTAAGACTTCTGTGCTCATCCATTGTTTGCATTCTTTTTCTCAACAGCACTTACCACTATCTTCCGTACCCTATGTTTTACTTATTTGCTTATTTATTTTTTCAGTATCCCTGCTAGACTATAAATAAGTTCGACAAAGGCAGGATTTGTCTGTTTCCTCACCTAGTAGTACCTAGAACATTGCTGAGACAGTAATAGACACTGACCAAATATTTTTGGAACGAATGAATAGAACTTGCATCAAGGAAAGTACATTCTACAGACCTATGTGCCGAGCACTGAGATAAACGTTTATTATAATCTGTCACATCTTTGACAATATGTAGATAAATGCATTCATGTAGGGGCAGGGGTGGAGAGGATATCCATTTTCTTGGCCTAATGCTCCTGTGCAGAGGGTCTTTTGTTCGAGTAACTTGACCTTTCTTCCCATACCTTACTCCTGCAGGCTTATAAAGTTTGATTGATGTTACTGAACATGCTCAGCTCAGCGCCTTCTTAGGTACTCTTCCTTGGGGGATGCCACAGGATATTTACACTCTGGCCTATACTTGGAGTAGGCCTTTGTTTGCCCAGCTCTATTGGCCACTGTGGGGATGTCTCTCTTGTTCAAGGGATTCAATACTTCAGTATTGGGGAGATTTCTGGGCCTCTAATCTAAAGCCACATTCTCTCATCATCTGTCCTGGGGCTGTTTTTCCATTGATTCCAAATTCAGAAGGTGATAAAAAGGAGGCTATATATTGACTCCTTAATGGTTACAACAGGAAGATATCCACCAAGATGGAAAGATTGTACCTATGGAGGTGGTCAACATGGCAGCGTGAGGCATTCCAGAGGAAACAGTCTGGGACAGCAAAATTTTATTGCAAGACTTGGCTCTGACTTTTGTGACATTTGCCATGCCTTGCAATTTCAACAGTATTTTACATGAGCTGGATTTAATATAAGAGAAGAACTGAGCACTACCTACAAGTCCTGGAATGCAGCACTTCTGCCAGTACCATGCAATTCCATCACCTACTGGACTTATATGAAGTGTTAGCACTGGGAGCCCAAGAAGGCCTTCCAAGATTCACTGACACTCTCATGAATCCAAACAACGTGGCAGAGCTCTAGCTGACTGAGAAATAAGAGAAGTAGAGAGAGCAGTATGGTGCACAAGAGTCTGGCATGAGTCAAAGACTTTGAGGAGATCAAGATTTTCATTCACAGATGCAAAAACCATAGCTACTGCCTCAAATCTTTAGTAATGGTTGCACAGATAAGACCTTGGTTGGGTCCAGACAACTCTGGGTTGGCTCACCTTTCACGACTTCCACAAACACTCACTGGAGCTCAATGCTCCAAAACCCTAGCATTGTACCCTGCAGCATTCTAGCACAAGAACGGCCTTGACTTATAAAATTGATCTTAAAGGAGTTTGGATTGAATATTTTCCGCCACCTACTATGAATTCATGGCCAGTTGTGCCCCCTTTTCTTTCTACTCACCATCTGCTCTTCTACCTCTATTGGCCCATTTTTTCTTTAGGTATCCCCATAGATTCTCTGAGTGGCATCCTACTTAGAGACTTCCACCTGCTTGCAGACTTGAAGCCAGATAGCACATGCTTAAAATTCATTATTTTCTGAAGTTGTCATAATGAAAGGCATACCATTGCTATTCTCGGTATGATTTAGACCACTGCTGTCCAGTAGAAATATAATGTAAGACACATGTGTCGTTAAAATTTTTTTAGGAACCACATTTAAAAAGTAAAGATGGGGCACCTGGGTGGCTCAGTTGGTTAAGCATCTGACTTCAGCTCGCGGTTCATGCGTTCAAGTCCCGCACTGGGCTCTGTGCTGACAGCTCAGAGGCTGGAGCCTGCTTTGGGTTCTGTATCTCCCTCTTTCTCTGATCCTGCCCCACACTTTCTCTCTCTCTTTCTGTCTGTCTGTCTCTCTCTCTCTCTCTCTGTGTCTCTCAAAAAATAAACATTAAAAAAAAAAAGAAAAAAGTGAAGATAAACAGGGGCTTCTGGGTGACTCAGTCAGTTAAGCATCCAATTCTTGATATTGGCTCAGATCGTTAAGATTGAGATCCACGTTGTGCTCTGCCCTGAGCGTGGTGGACCCTGCTTGGGATTCTCTCTTGCCCCCTTCCCTGCCCCTCCCCCATCACGTGCACACTCTCTCGAAATAAATAGATGAACATTTTTTAAAAAGTAAAGATAAGTGAAATTAATGTGATATTTTATTTAACCTGATATATCCAAAATATTATACATTCCACATGTAATCAATATAAAAATATTAGTGAGATAGTTACATCTTCAAAATCGGGGCTGTATCTTATACTGTATCTTACTGCAGATATGCCACATAGATTTCAAGTGCTCAGTAGCTACTGCATCGGCCAATGCAGACTGAGATGGTGTCACCTTACATTCCTGGGAAGACTGGAAATTCAGAGTGATGTGGATTCTTGAGTTCAGGGAGACCCTCTTAGGGCTGTGTGAAGGGGGCAGAAATGGAAATGTTTGAGGATCACTGTAATAAAATCAGGTTTGTCCCTTTATTTCATTTGCGTTGAAGGATTTCTACATTGTGTTTGCTGATAAAGGTTATCTGACACTGGCAAAGTTAATGTCCTTGAGCCTCTGAGTTCATCATGTATTACACAGAAACAATATAGTAATAATAATAATAATGATAATATATAACCATAATATAATAATAATCAGTAGCTCGCTCAGTGAGTATCCAGCTCACTGGGTTGTTGTGGTGAAGAAATGGGAAAGCACTAAGCAACATTGTTCACAATATTATTTATTTGGTGAAAAATTGGCCTTTTCATATTTAAAAAATAGCTTTATTGAGGGAAACTAGACATTCAGTAAACTGTACGTATTTAAAGTGTACAATTTGGCATACATATATACCCATGAAATCAATTAAGATTTGCACGTATCCATCCCCCGCCCTCAATTTTTTCATGCTCCTGTTATACACACCGCCCTCCCGGCTGCTCCCTCCACCCCACCTCTCACCTCTGTGCCCAGGCAACCAATATTTTGCTTTCTGCCACAGTAGTCCACATTTTCTGGGATGTTTATACACGTGAAATCCTACAACGTGGAATATATGTATTTATCAGGCTTCTTGAACTCTGTGTATTTATTTTTGGATCCATCCAGGTTGTTTGACTTAACAACAGTGGTTGGAGGAGGTCTTCGAGAGGTCATGGCCTCCGATCGACCTGTGAGGAGGGGCAATTGGAGGCTCCTGACCCCCTCCCCTGTCTCGGGAAGGTGCGTTCCTTGATTCCACTGCCACAGCGCCACAGGGACGGACGCAGGCGGCCTTCAGAAAAACCACCAGGAGGGCGTTCGTGGGGAATGAATGCAGGTAAGGTCGCGGTGTAAATGTTTAAGATTCTGGCGGGCGATGCCCCAGTAGGTCAGACCCCTTGCATGTTGGAACTGCGCCTCGGATCTGGAGTGGCGGGCCTCTGCCGTGGGTCTCCCGTGCCCCCCGCGCGCAGGGCCGGGGTCCCCCCCCCCCCCCCCCCCCCGGCGAGTGGCAGGCCCGCCCGGAGAGGCAGCCATGGGCTGTGGCAAGGAGGCATCCGCGGGGAAATTCGGGGTGCCCCTGGACCTCTGGGTGGGTCGGGGTGGGCTTCCGGGCTGCGCGGTGGGTCAACCACCCACCCCAGCCAGAGGCCGAAGCAGGGTTAGCAGGCTGGGAGAAGAGCTGAGGTTAGAGACGGGCTGCGGGCCTACGGGCTCCACGGGCTCCCGGGCTGGCAGAGCAGAGACTCAGGCGGAGACCTTGGCTGCCCTCCGAATCAGGGCTACGACTTGAATTAGTGAATTAGCTGTGTCTGTGACTCCGGAAGGCGTGGGCTGGGAGCTGTGGAGGGAGTACACCCAGGACTTGGGTCCCAGCTCCGGAAGGGACAGAAACCCAACACCCTTCCCGCAGAGTAACAGCTCCTGGCGGTGCGCACAGTGCTGCAGCGGGCAGAACCTGGCGGGGGGGTGGTAAGAACTTCCCTTCCTCATCAAGGCATGGGTGGAGAACGTGGCCCGTGGGCCCACGTGTGCCGGGGCTCAAACTCCGGTGTTGGCTCAGTGGCATGCCTGTCGTAGCAGAGGGGGACCTTGTCCGCCAGCCCGCTGTTTCTAGAAGTGTGGGTGCTGCCAGGTCCTGTAAAGTGTGCAGATCGTCCCAGTGCCCCTGCCCCTATTCCTGTGGCGGTCCCCGAGACCTGTGGAGGAGTGCAAGAAATCCCTGCCCGCGCCCAGCATAGAGATGCCTGGAGATAGGCAGGAATGCTGAAGCCAATGGGGCCCAACTCAGTGATTTTTCCAGTGACCAGCATGTGCTCTGGCAGATCCCACCACATTTACTACATAAGCGATCCTATCTGTGGAGAAAGACAGTTTTACTTCATTTCCAATATCGAGGCCTTTATTGTCTTACTGCACTGGCCATCACCTTAAATGTAATGTTCAATAGAAACGGTAAAACCAGACATTTTTTTGCCCTCTTCCTGATTCTAGAGGGACAGTACTCCGTCTTTTATCATTAATTATGATGTCAGTTGTGTAGCCTTCTTTTCATTTTTAAAATAAATATCCTTTATGAGGTCGAGGAAATTCCCTTTTATTCCTAGTTTGATGAAAGTTAAAATTTAGAATGAATGTTGAGGGGTGCCTGGGTGGCTCAGTCGGTTAAGCATCCGACGTGGGCTCAGGTCATTATCTCACGGGTGGTGGGTTTGAGCCCCACACCGGGCTCTACGCTGACCCTTGCTCAGAGCCTGGAGCCTGCTTCAGATTCCGTGTCTCCTTCTCTCTCTGCGCCTTCCCTGCTTGTGCTCTGTCTCTTTCTTTCAAAAATAAATAAATGTAAAAAAAAAAACCCACCAAATTTTAGAATGAATGTTGAACCTGCTCAGCATCAAATGAGTTTAACATTTTTTTTCTTTGGTTTTTAATATGGTGATTTATATTAATTGATTTTCAAATGTTAAACCAGCCTGAATTCCTGAGATTAACCCCAGTCTAGCATGATATGTTATCCACTTTATATATTGTTATATTTAAGTACTAAAATTTAGTTTAGAATTTTAGTTTTGAACCTGTGTTCATGAGGAATATTGGACTTTGGTTTTCTTTCTTTTTTGAAATTGTGGTAAGAACACTTATCATGAGACCCTTAACAAAATTTTAAGTGCACACTGCAGTATTGCTAACTATAGTCACAATATTATACAACACATCTCTTGAATTTATTCATGCTGCATAATTGAAATTTTATACCCATTGAACAACAACTCCCCTTGGCAACCATTAGTCTACTGTCTGTTTGTAGAAGTTTAACTATTTAAAATACCTCATGCAGGATTTGACTTTCCATGATTGGCTTATTTCACTTAGCATAGTGTCCTCTAGGCTTATCCATATTGTCACATACAAGATTTCTTTCCTTTTTAAGGCTGAATAATATTCCATTGTGGGTGTGCATCACGTTGTCCTGATCCATTCATCTGTTGATGGACATTTAATTTGTTTCCATGTCTTGGCTATTGTGAATAATGCCCCGATAAACTTGAGAATGCAGATACCACTTCAAGACCCTGATTTCAATTCTTTTGGATATATACCCAGAACTGGGATTGCCTGATCATGTGGTAGGCCTATTTTTAATTTTTCGAAGAACCACCAAACTGTTTTCTGTAGTAGCTGCACCATTTTATATTTCTACCAACAGGGTACAAGAGTACAAGAGTTCTGATTTTTCCATCCTCGACAAAACTTATTATATATATATATATATATATATATATATAGCTATTATATATTATATACTATATATATTATATGCTATATATAATATATAATGTGCTATATATTATATGCACATATATATTATATATATATGCTATATATATATAACCTATATAGCAATCCTAAAAGATTTGAGGTGATACTTTGTTGAGCATTTCCCTGATGATTAGTGATGTTTGACATTTTTTCATATAACTATTGGCCATTTGCATGTCTTTAGATAAAAGTCCTTTGTCTATTTTCCAATCAGGGTTTTATTTTGTTTTGTTTTGTTTTTGCTGTTGAGTTGCAGGTTCCTTACACATTTTGATTATCAACCTTTATCAGATATACGGTTTGCCAATATTTTCCCTCATTCCATTGGCTGCCCTTTCACTCTCTTGTTTCCTTTGCTGTGCACACCTTTTCAGTTTGATGTAGTCCCACTTGTCTATTTTTGTTTCTTTTGCTTGTGCTTTGGTGTCATGTCCAAGAAATCATTCCCAAGACCAATGTCAAGAAACTTTCCTTTTGATTACGGGCACTGTTCCCAGCCCAGTGTGAGCACTGAGCAGTGCTCTTGCAGGTGGTTCTTTCTTGGGCCTCAGGTAGAGCCATCACTTCCTGTGCTAATCGGTACTTTGATAAATATTCAAGGATGTCCTTGTGCAGTTCTCTGGAGTTATTGCTGTCTGGTCCTCTGTCTCATCAACGTGAGTTGCCTCGATCTTTCCAGAGTTTCAGTTGTCTTCTCAACTCAGAGAACCTTGAAACCCTCCAGTCATTAAATTGGGCAATCATAGGGCTCACCTTGTTCATTTCCGATCGCTTAGGGATCACAGTTCTTTGTTGCTGCATGCCTAGCAAATTAAAAACTATTCTTTCATATATTTTGTCCACTTTGGGGGTCCTTTTGGCTCTTTTAGGTGACAGGGTAAATTTGGTCCATGTTCTCCCATCTTAGTTGGGAAGCTTCATTCTTTCAACAAACGTTTAAGTGCCAGACAATGGGGTTATCCTTAGAAGATTGTAATACCACTTTTGTAGTGGATGAAAGAAAAAGAATATTGTTGCTGGGATGGGCAAGCAGTATATACAATTAGAGTGTGTTCAGTGGTGTTACCAAAAAGTCTCTTACCAAACAAAGAAAGCAGAGGGTCATTCTCTATAATGTTGACTCTGATTGACTCTAAAAGATGACTCTTCTGGGGACATGACTCAGTCTCTATTTCACGTGTTTTCGTTAGTAACAATACCTATGGAACTCAAGACTCTCTAGGCCTTTGTTTCCTCATCTAGAAGATGGGGATAATTATAGTAGGTCTCACAGGGTTCATAATGAGAATTTAATGAGACAGTATCTGCAGTGCTATTAGCTTCATACCTGACACACAGAAGTGCTCAACAAAGGTCAGGAAATCTTTAATCTTTCTAGATACCTCCCAGTTCTTGTACTACTATTGAATTTGCAAAATGATCCATATTTACTTTATTTCCTGTCTTCTTCACCCTTTATCTCTCTCTCTCTCTCTCTCTCTCTCTCTCTCTCTCTCTTTCACACACACACACACACACACACACACACACACCCTCTTCTTTTCTTCTCTGCAGACTTAAGAGTAACTACTTTGGTTTGTCATAATAGTGACATTTTAGTTAGAGGCATCCAATTTCAGAGTTGCAAGTGCACTTCATGACCATTTTATCCAATATCCACCGCTCTCCATGTTCTTCACAGAAGGAAAGTATAATCTAGAGAAAGGAAGTGGTCTGTCCAAGATCACAGAGTTGGTAGTGGTGGAACACATCTTCCATCTGGGTGTTTTCTCCACAAAACAACACTACCCCTCCCTCTTTCTCATTCTCTAGGCCTCTCTCAATTCTGGGAAATACTTTGACATTCACAAGTAGGAATTTCACAGAATATTACAGACACACTTATACCATAGTTCTTTGTAAGATTTTAAAATTCCTTTTTCCTTTTTATGTTTATGCTTGTGTGTGTATGTTGGGGGGAGAAGGAGGGTGGGAAGTGGGAAAATCTAACCAGACTCAGTATAAACCAAATTAGCTGTCCCAAAAGAAAATGACACACTGCAGATTTAAGAGATCCCCAAGTCCATTTTATAGCTGATAAAGTTGTGACTTGGAGAATTCAACAGATGGGTCTTAGTTTGATATTTGGCTAAGATAAATTTTGGGTAAGCTAAAACTTAGTCTAGAGTACATTCTGTTAAATGTAGTGTCTTTTCAATAGCTTGTGACTGCTTCCGGGATAGTGACTATGGATGGTTATTAATATAGTGTGGTACAACTGAGTCAAAGTTGCCATAATTTCTTAAAATGTTACTTTTGGAGAAATTAAGAGCTCCATATAAATTTAAATATTAACACTATTGGTTATGCACATTACCTTTTTCCCCCTTTACTTTAAACCTATATAAACAACAACAAAAAGCAGTTCTTAAGCTTAAGCATTATGGTGCTAGTGTCTACAGAAATAGTGCACATAAAAAAATATTTAGAATTAGATTCTGGCTTTAGGCGATCTTTGTAAATGAGACACAAT